GTGGGTGATGGGCAGTTTTCTGTATTGATACGTTGAGCCTGATTGTTCTGGAAGAATCAAGTCACTCATGAGATCTGCCACAGGCCGAGGTATTACCGCTCGCGACTTCAAACTTGTCCAAGTTGTTTACCCCTACGAGGAACTGAAAAATGGAGATTGGCCCAGCCTTGGACAAGTCGCCCAGCAAAGATAGACAATCCAGCTGACCCTCGGTGTTTGTCAAGATGCCGCCTTGACAGGGTCATTCTATGTCACTCTGAAGTGGTTTGGGGTAAAGGCAATTGTGATTGGAGGGGTCAGCAATGTATGTATGTGTATATAATATGCAACGCTCAAAACACATTCTCACAGAGGCCATTGGCGAGTTCTTCTCCCGTGATACCTTTTCATTCGTCACGGAACAGCCACAGAAGGTCAAATGACCTGCATCGAATCCCAGCTTATCCAAATAACCTGCAGCCATTTCCACACCATTACAGCCCAAGTAAGTCGGCCTAGACGAGGATTTCATGCTGCGGAAGTGGACATATGGCCTTGCGATGGTGGCTCCCCACAAACGATCCCACGCCCTTTGGGGGAAATGTTGGTCTTGCCCGTGGCCCACATGTTTTCTGCAAGGAAAGCATCAACCATATTCTAAAGTGTGCTAAGTCAATTCAACGGAAAGCATGTTGAGCTATTATAGTAGTTTGGAGCTTCAACAACGACAGCAGACTTAGCAATGGCTGGACGGCGCGTTTGTGAAGCCTTCTCAGAGCTGTCCTCGGACGAGAAGCGCAAGGTTTTACAGGAATTGCAGCGCACCACTTCGGAGGCTTGGTGTTTTTAATCTTTTTGCATTGAGCATTCTTGTCGTGTGGCGCACCAAGAAGCCAGTTTTAAGGGAACAGGTCTGACATTGTACGGAGTTTGGTCAGCTTTGCTCCGATTCTTGAATGCATTGCTTGTCATTGTCGACAACCACTTACTGTACTTTCTGCTTCCACCTTCCTCTCCGACAGTCAGATAATTGCTGGACTGTTTGTTGTAAACAGGCTGCTGGGTAGCAGGAATCAGCATTGTTCTTGGGGAACTTGGAGTGAAAGGTAGAACTCTCGCGCTGTGTGCAGGCCTCAACTGCACCAGGCCTTTCACCTCCAGAAAAGGAGGCATGTTGGGATCGGCGTGGGTTGGCCCCAACAGCTGAGCGCAGACAGTTGCAGGATCAGTGTTTGAACTGGGAACCTTCAGAGCAGATCAACTCAGTAGACAATACCTAGGGGCTACAAATAGAACCCCCACACCTTCTTGACCAGGCAACCCGTTCGAGCCCCCCACAGTGCCAACTTCTCGTGGCCCCAAGGCTGCGAAGAAGGCGGGCCCTGGATTTGCGAAGAAGGCGGACCCTGGATTTGCAACATTTTGCACCATGGAATGGTTTGCCAGTTTGCTGTCCTTGCGCAACCATGTCACCAGCTCACAGCTGCACCTTCAGAGCCACATTTTCACCCAAACCCTTTGTGCTTGCCCTTTCCTTCCTGTTCTTGACGGCTTCATAGCACTCGGATGCTTTCCAGACTTCCAGTTGGTGTGCTTGCAGCGAGGCCCCAGGCACTTTTCCGGCACCCCAGCCAAAGTGCAAGTCCTACCCTGAGTGTGTGCAATCCACCAGCGTCTGAAGGAAAGTGCGCTGGTTAAACGTGCGCACTGCACTTTCAGGCCTTCCAAGCTGCTTGGGCCTGTTGGAGAAGTGTCGCTTTCATCCGAGGAGCCAACATGCAGCGGAAGCCACATGGGCCGCTTTGATTGATTGATGCTTGTTTGACTCAGGAGGAAGAAGGTGAACATGAGGAGGCAGAGGCAGGGTTCCCCAGAACAGCTCTCCAGGTTATTTTTGACACAGCTTTGCTCCGATTCTTGAATGCATTGCTTGTCATTGTCGACAACCACCTACTTTCTACTTCCACCTTCCTCTCCGACAGTCAGATAATTGCTGGACTGTTTGTTGTAAACAGGCTGCTGGGTAGCAGGAATCAGCATTGTTCTTGGGGAACTTGGAGTGAAAGGTAGAACTCTCGCGCTGTGTGCAGGCCTCAACTGCACCAGGCCTTTCACCTCCAGAAAAGGAGGCATGTTGGGGTCGGCGTGGGTTGGCCCCAACAGCTGAGCGCAGACAGTTGCAGGATCAGTGTTTGAACTGGGAACCTTCAGAGCAGATCAACTCAGTAGACAATACCTAGGGACCTAGGGGCTACAAAGGGGCTACAATGGTCCTAGAGCCTACAGAGTAAAACCACAGCTTCTTGACCAGGCAACCCAGAATTCCCACTGTTCGAGCCCCCCACGGTGCCAACTTCTCGTGGCCCTAAGGCTGCGAAGAAGGCGGGCCCTGGTGGACCTGAATGTGGATTGAGTGAATTGCACATTCTTGTGAATTTGAGAGTGTGGAGTTGCTGACATGACACAGGTAATTTCTTGCACGCTTCATCCAGGAAACATGTCCTGTGTTAAATTGAACGCAGCAAATCAAGGCGGCTTCAATAGCTGTCCCTCGCACAAAGAGGGTGGCTACCCTACTCTCAAGCTTGCGGATCTTGCAGCTCAAATCGCTGATATCAAGTCGTCAGAGGGGCCCCTCAGTTTCATCCAGGCCTTGAACATCATTGTGTCATTGAACTCATCATTGTCGTCAGTCAGGGGGCACCCTTTCCTTTCCACAACCCTCCATTGGAGGCAGCTTCAAGCCGCGAAACTTCGACTCGATTGCAACCCGCGGTGTCACTGATTGTGGTTTTGAGCAGTGCAGGCGGTCCAAAGGCCAAGATCCAATCAGGCGCTGTGCAGGCTGTGCAGTGTGCTGCGCACTTCTTGTGCTCGCTTTCTCTCGCAGGTCTACGAGGAGACAGACGACGAGATGGTGGTCCAAGGTGCGGAAGAAACTCTCACAGAATCCCGCGATTCAGCCAGCGGGATTCTGTTGATCTGTAGCAGCCATACATGATATATATATATATAGCAGATTCATGCTGTATACAGAATACCCCTGACTTTGGTTTGACTTGTGCAAATTGGACTGCTGACCTGGGGAGTGAGCGAAGGTGCCCTGCCATGGGCTTTACAGTAGAAAAAGCAATTCCACAAGTGATGCCTTGCCTTAAATGCTGGCTCGGGGCTCCTGCAGTTGGCGATTCGGACTGATGCACGATGCACAACTTTTCCTATTTTTTATCTCCATTCTCGTTCCATCATTATTACTATCACTTTTGCTTTATCGTGTTTGTGTGTGGGTCTCCGACATATTTGAGCACTTCCAGGTGCTAGTGCCGTCTCGTCATCCACGGACCTGGTGGTGGTTCCGCCACATCAGGCCAGCCTTGAGGCCATTGGGTATCCTGCCTCCAGTTCTGCCATCTGTGTCCAAAGCGTTAGAAACTGAACATGGTTGCTGAATTCCAAGATGCGCGGTCGTTTGGTGGCCCCAGCTTGATTGTAGTGAGCCCGGGTTTTGATGGAGACCGTCGGGCCTTTTTTTGTGTGGAGCCTGAGTTCGTGCTGGAGTATGATGGAACGGGCATATGGCTGCAAATATGACGCTTCTTTGACAAGGTGCCCAACAAGGTGGGCATTTTCACGGCATGGCCGCTGGCTAAGGGCTTTGCCAGGCTTTGCAGCTTTGCAATGAGGGATGCTGTGGCTGGGGCATGTCAAAACAGCCAAGGCAGGATGCTTGAAAGGCATCACGCAGATTTACTCAGCAGTCACTTTCTTAGTGGCTCCGGGACTTCCTCGCTGTGTTTGCCCCATTGCAGAGGGAGTAGATTGTGCTTTACAAAGCTTGAACCTAGAATTGCAAAGAGCCAAACATCTTCTCATTTCTGGGGCACGTTCCTCGGCTCATTTTCTTTTCGCCCTCTCATCAGGCTGGCTTGAGCGAAACATTGTCCAGCGATGAAATAGTTCTGGTGCCATGATTGCATCGAGAAACATGCCATTGCTATTGCACCACAAGCCCCAGCTGCAGCTGAGCAGCCTTTCATGCAATCCAGGTATATTTTAGCTTTGGCGCGAAGTCTGCTGAAACGCCACATTCTTTGGGTCACGGGGACTCAGTTTATGAAGCGTCAGTTTCATTGACGACAGGGACATGGAAGTTGAGCCATGAGTGTTCCTTAGGCGATGACTTTGATCCCCAATTTGAGGAGTTTGGGGAGTCGGAGGATGTGGTTCCACGGCCGCTTGGTACTGGTAAAACCTGCAGTAGTTTGTGGCCAAAGCGTTCCGCGTTCAGTTAGACGAGGGAAAGAGGTCGATTCTGTGGCTCCTCTCAGGTTATTCCGCGCAACCTACAGCCAGGAGACTGCCCAATTTTTTGCTGACGTGGGCATTGACCCTGTTCTTGGGGGAAGCTTGGTCTTGTGGAGGCAAGGAATGGCATTTGCCAAGGCTTCAGTGAAAGAGCTGAATGAAAGCGAAGAAATGGAGACCGAAGTCGCACGATGGCTTGGAGGAAAATACCCATCATCACCTGGGGCTGCAAAGGCAAAACCAGCCAGACCTGCTTCAGCCACTGCCAGAGGGCATGTGGCTGGCCCGACGCCAGGTGCCTCTTGCGGGGCCCCACCTGTTGGTCCCCCTCCACCTGCGAATCCCAGCGTGGCAACGAATGTGGTTTTTGGTGCTGCCCTGAGTGGCCCACCACCTGGTCCCAAAGCGCCAACAGGAACGATGACAGTTGGCGCTGCACTGAGTGGCCCACCACC